TCCCTACTTATTGCAGGGGGGTTGGACTAAGTGACCTTTAAAGGTCACTGTCAATCCAAACCATTCTATTTTTCTATGACATCAGACGTTGTAGAGAGTGTGTTATAGGTGTGTCAGGTTTTTTTAGGACTTAAAAATCAACCTAAAAAACACCTAATGGGAGAAGGACCTGTGCCACATGGCTGCAAGGAGGAGTGTAGCAACTAGAGAAGATGAGGAAGAGGAGATGGGTAAAGTCAAAAGAAAGAGGAAAAGGAAGAGTTTGTAGGCAGCTCAAAGGATTGAGGTTGCATTTGAAGTAAAAGGCAGCTGTAAACATCCAACTAATTGTTTCTTTGACTTCAAAAAGTATAAAAGAGGAGGAAGAGGGTGTATATGTAGTTGAAAAAGTATCATAGATCTCTGACTACATGAGCATTAACGTGCATTTGTACAGCTCAGTCAAACTAAACAGCTAAAGGGATGTAGGGCAGACATAATTTTGGACTTTTTCAAGGCCTATTCTTTAGAAGGCATGGGGGAGTTCTAACCAATTGTGAAGGATGTCTTTCATGATCTCTGAGGGCTAAAGCAAGTTTTATTGACTGATAGCTACTTCTAGGTACTGGCAAAAAGTGTATGTGCAGTATGCTTGTAGAATGGTCAGCTTTGCACTAGCAGTAGGAATCTGCAGCTGGTGTGCTATTCATGTGATGTCATGTTAATCCAGTAGCAGAATCCCTTGTCCCACCTGGGTGAACATCTACCACCATATTTTATTTTTTTTTTGAGATGCGTGCCTCTTGTTCCCAAACCACACAAATATTTCATTAACATAATACTGTTCCATATTAATTTTGGTTAAATTGGTGAATTGTATAAACAAAAGAGAGTATTGAATATATTTAGGTATTTTTTGAGTGCAAAAAACTTGAATTAATACTTGGCTTGAAACGGTAAATGGCCTTTTGCATTAAGTAAAATGATGACGTGAGCCATTCTAAAGTTATATCAAGATACTGGAAAATACGGTTAGAGCTGATGCTATAATAAACTGTAATCTTATAAGTGGTGTCTGTTATTTTCTTCCCACAAACTGATGAGTATTCTCTGCTTTCAAACCACTGACTTTAACTAATGGTCGTGATTTATCTCAAATTGTCATCATGCGGTAAAGGTGGAAAGTGAGCTAGAAAGATCAGAGCATTTGGGAATTAAAATGCCTAGATGTTGTTTTCAGTTGCACTTTGGGCTTCTGGAAAAACGTCTTCATCAAAAGATACCCCCTAAATACCACATCATGAATGTAAAACATCAAAACTTTAAGGATTTGCTTGAAATGTACCAAGTGCAAATTCAAGAGTATCTCAGAGTTACAGCTATTTAGTTGTGCTTCTGTCCTGCATGTTAAAAAGGTGGTTTGTGTAGATGATGGCTGTACAGTCACATTAATCTGCTTATTTGTTACACTAAAACTAGGTAGTACTGCTGTTGACACCAGAAAACAGCTTCTTTTGGACAAATACTAGTGACTCTTCTGATGTGAGCTGTGCTGTGAGAGCTGTTTAGTGTTTCGGTGTTTGGTCTTTCCTTCCTTCCGTAGTTTTTCCATTTAATGTTTGCTGTTGTAGGCCTAAAGTTGAAGGTGTTGAGAGTATTGTGTGTTTGACAATGCCTGTTTATCCACTGGGGCTTTAAGTCTGACAGTCCAAAACAAAATAACAGGTGAAAGGCATGAGATGAGAACTGTCTAGGCTTCTTGTTAAGACTTTCTGTGGTATAATGCTTCTTGGTGTTTTCTGTTAGGAGTGTCAATTTGGAGGTAGTGAAGGTTGCTGGAGAAGTGTGTTCATTCTCTGCTGTCTTGTCAACCTGAGGCTAAAACCAATGTTTTCCAGAGGTGTTTAGTGAATTCCTTTATATGCTGTTTGGCTGACCAGTCAACTCTAGCTGTCCAGACAGTAGGAAATGGGATAACTATTCTGATCAGTATGTACATCTGTGTAGTGCAGCGAGTGGCAAAACACGCTTGGGACCCTTGGATGCTGCTGTGGTACAAATACATATTACTTGCATGTTTTGAAAAGCAGTGAGATAGTTTACTCTTAGAGATCAAAGCTGTCAAAGATGTAAGGTGAATTTTTCCTCTGCAGTCCCTCAGATTTAGCTGTTCTGTAATGGAATATAACTGAAACTTTAATAGGTTTCTTTCTTGAAAGGTTAGATTCCTCATGGTGTCTTTTGTGGATGGATTTGCAAGTGTCATTGTTGATTGAAAGAAGGAAACTGGGAGAAACATCTAGGAAGCTTAATGCTCTGTAAAATTCTGATAAAGAAACAGTAATTCATGGTGTAGGTAATTGAAGTGTCAATGCATACACTTTTATACAAGGAAGATTTAAACAAGTTTAGTTAAGAGATGTTTTTCCATGGACCTAAAAGAGAACTGCATAAAGCTGACTGGCTTATCATTTGAGCTTTGGAGAAGTTGGCCAGGTCACTGAGGCACCACATTGTAGTAAACCACCCAGTATGGCCTGAAATGCAGTGTTTGCTTTTGTGTGTCAAGGAGAGCCGTGAGCAAATTGCAGCTCAGAAGAGTTTCCTTAGAGCATATCTCTTGATACCAAATACTTCAAATTTCAGCCAGTGTTGCCAGGGACAAGTTCTTTTACCTCTAAGACTTCAGTAGGCTTTTGGTGGGGAATGAACCTCATTAGCAGTAATCTCAATGGTCTGTGTGGTCAAGGGCAAAAAAAAAAAAAAGTCCCTCCAAAATGCAGAGAAGTAGGGGATTGCATTCTAAATATTGAGAATTGTTGCAGTAAAGCAGGTATCACCTATTTATATGTGCTGAGTTTGAATGCTAATCATAGAACATTTGGGCAAAAGAAATTTAGGGCCTCTACCAGAATTACACTTTCAGCTTGTTTATTAAAAAAAGGGTTTTAATGTTCTTTTTTTTACCTGGCTTGCTTCCATTTATTTCTTACAGTAATCAAAGAGAAGGGTGAGTTTTCCATGCACCTCTAGTCTGCTTCCATGTATGTTCCACTTTCTCCCTCTGAGCAGACATTAATCTCTTTCCATTTTTCTACTTTTCTGGATCTTACAGAAGTATTAGTAGATGTGACTACGTGACTGAAATTTGCAAGTTGATTTTCTCTTGAAGCCCAGGAAAACAATGGACTACTGGAAATCCCCTGAAAGGCATACAAAATGGTTTGGTTATTTTGCTTGAGCATAACAAGAGGTTTCAAGATAAATTAGGATGAGGTGTTTGGTGGGTTTTTGCAGAGTCTTTAAGCAGTCTCAGAGGATTCACTGGTTTACACAAATTTGTTAGATAAACTTAACATAGCATTGTAAAATGGATCTCTTTCTGTTGATGCCCGTGCTTGAAGGATGTGACAGGCTGGCAAAAGAGTAACCTTGGATGTGGTTCAGTCAGGACAAATGCAGAATATTAGGCTTTGGTAAGAGTAATCAGGTGTGTAAGTGGAAAGTGGATGAAGAAAGGCAGCAGCTCTGCAGAAGAGTGTTTGATACACAAACTGACTATGAGTCAACCAGGTTGCAGCATTACACAAGCTGCAAACATTGTGCTGGGTTGTACAAACAAGAGTGTTGCAAGTTGGATATGAGAAGTCACCAGCATGCTGGGTAGGGCTGAGGTAAGCTTCCTCTGAAGGGTCTAGTTTTGAGTACCGTGCCTGAGAGATTTTTAGGAGTGAGGGGACAGATTGACCAAAGAGAAATAACAGCTTATTGACTTTCTTTGCAGTAGCCCCTCTCATATTTGTGGGGAGTGGGGAGCCACACTATTTTCTGTCTTCTTGGAGTAGAGCAAGGAGCAATTCACTTAAACTGCACTAAATGTGATCTGAGCTACTATTAGGAAAGTCTTTCTAAATGCATGAGTAGTGAAGGAATGAAGAGGCTCTCTGGGGAAGCTGAAGAAGGAAACTTTCTTTAATATGTAGATGTGATGAGTATTTCTTGAGTGCAGTTCCTGTAGATTTGCATAGTGACTGCTGTGGAACAGTGGATTTCTTCTGTTTTTTTTCTTGTAACCCTATTCAGTTCTGAAACCTGAAACATCATAATTGAAGGGGCAATAAATGCCCAGTGTGGGCTTGCGAGATACCTATAATTTTGATCCTGTTACAAACAAAATCAGACTTTGAACAAGAAGCACAGTTGGTGATAACCATGGTGCTAAGAGTAGGTAATAGTGGCTTGGTCTTTTGATGGACTTCACTGTGAGTGCTCATGTGGTTGTCTGTGGACTGCTGAAATCCACAGCCACTGCATCTACACCAAAGGACTTTGACCTGTGCAGCATCCACCATGATTTTGCATCATGAGTGCACGTCTCTATGTTCTGGTTCATGTCAAGATGTGAGCTAACTGTGTGCTGTTGTCATCTTTCTTTCTTTTGCTCCTGCTACCCCACTTAGTGCTTTCTTTCTTTGCAAGGAAGTCCATGGAAGAAGGATGCTTCCTAATGGATCCAAACCAAAGCTTTATGTCTAGGTGGGCTGCTAGTACCAAGTTTGTCAGGGATTCTGGTTTCTGTGGCCAGATGTTTACCTGTAAAAGATAGAGTGCTGCTCTGCAGGATATACTGACAGTTTGGTTTCTTCAGGTACAGGAAAATATGGGGAGGTGCTTCATTTTGATAATATGAACAACACTGTTTAATACCACTTAGGTTAATCAGATGTAGAAATAAGTACTTGTCTTGCTCATGCATTGCATTTTTATTGCTGAGCTATTTGCTTCTGGAAATGGAATATTTATTTTACCAATAATCTAAACAAAAAGTTGTCACCACTTAATGTATTTCAGTAAAAAATACACTGTTTTCTTTGCAGTTTGTCAGGGTTTTTTATTTTTCTCTATAATACTGAAGTAGATATACTGATTTAAATATTTGCTTTACCCTCTGCTGTTTCATTCTTGTTGGTCATGATGTTTATTCAGGTATTTTGATTATTTGTGTATTTCTTGCTTTCTAGGAGACAAAGATGGCAGCAAAGTGACTACAGTAGTGGCAACTCCTGGACAAGGTCCAGACCGACCACAAGAAGTTAGCTACACAGACACCAAGGTGATTGGAAATGGATCTTTTGGTGTTGTGTATCAAGCCAAACTCTGTGATTCAGGAGAGCTTGTGGCCATTAAGAAGGTCCTGCAGGATAAAAGATTTAAGGTGAGCCTATGCATAAGTTCAGAATATTTTTCATGAATGTTTTCGTTTTTCCATGTCTTTAATGGCAATGTTTTTTATTTTTTAAAAATTTATTTTCATTGGAGCAGATAAATGCATATGAAAGTTTCCAAGGCTAAAGATTAAACAGATGGTTTATGATAAAGGGATATAGTTTAACTTGAAAATCAGTGAGTCACTGTTGTTATGATTCCTTGGATTAGTGCAAAACAGGAAGCTGAAAATCCTGATTTGATGTTGTTGTGGTTTTACTCTTGGTTGTTGCATCTATAAAGTAGAAGGCTGTGTTTTAGTACTTCAGCAAGCCTCCAGAACAAGGAGGAAGATGAAAAAATACTGAACCCAGGGCAGTTTGGACTGAAGACAAATTACTTCCCTTCTATATTTTATTTATAATACTAGACTAGTGATTCTTCATTCTAAACAAGAACAAAAATTAAGGACCACCAGCAACATCATCACTGTTGTTAGTCCTCTGCTTGGTACTTGGTGTGCTTTACAACTTTCCCGTATAGCCAAGTGGCTTGCAGCTAAACTTACACAAACATTTAACAATAGCAAAAGCATTTGTTTTAGTGTCTAGAATCAGTGGTGTGGTCTTTAGCATCTGAAGGCTACAGCTTTCATAACTATAAAAGCAGAAGGACAGTACGTAGAGAAGATGCCACAGATAATGCTATTGGTGTGGTCTAGATAAAAAAACCCTGAGCTTAAAAATAGGAAGTTGAATCATATTTACAAAAAATCAGCAATTTGCAACTTTAACTACTTTATAGTCAGTTTTAAAAATACTTCTAAAGGTGATAGGGTGATGTTTTTATAATTCCTAAGTTTTCTCATTTTTCTAAGAAGATTTCATCACAGCTAGCTTAACTGGTCATGTTTGTAATTTGTGTCCCAATTTGGTAGCAAAATCATTCTTTTGAAGTGTTCTGAAGCAACTGTTGTATCCCTTTTCCATGAGTCTTGAAATTGATGCTGTCATAACCATAGGCATCAGCGTATCACAAGTGCATTAGATGAAGAATGGAGAAGGACAGATATATATTTAAATTAGTGTAATCAGGCAGCATTGTTGAACTTCTACTTGAGAAAGGCTTTTAAAGTTCTTACATTGTCCTTACATTGGAGTTATTTCTGGACTGCATTATGTGTTGAATTAGTGTGAGGGAAGCGTGCCTGATGCAAGAGTGGATTATTTTAGAGGAATGGAAGAGATAGAGTAATAACAAATGTTTAAAAGAGCTTTTTGATCTCTTCCTATTGCATAGTTGTAGGGGGAAGGCTAAGACATTTCCCTTAATGTGTTGTGCTTTGCAGGTGTCAACTAGTGCTTTGAACCAAAATAATTGATTTATTTAGTCTCATGACTTAAAGGTTGTGTATGATGCCAAAATGAAAATTTGACTGAGTATTTTATTACCTGCCTATCGGATACTAATAATTACTGATGTCTTAATTTTCTTCAATAAATCTGTTTTGGTAATCTAGAATAAAATGTAGGTCTTTGATTGTTTTTCTTGCAGTAGTTGACTAAGTGGCGTTTTGTTATCTGACCATTTATCTTTTTGGTTTGGATTGTTTCTTTAAGCAATTAGAAAAAAACGTGTCATCTTTTCAATAATGGCTCTATTTTTGTTTAAGGTGAAAAAAACACAACACAACAAAAAGCTAAAACACTAAGTACGATATTTTCAGTTTGGTCTGTGAACTAACCTTCTCTACAACTACCTGAAAGAAGGTTGTAGTGAGGTGGCTGCTAGTCTCTTGCCTCCAGTTGTGCCAGCATAGGTTTAGATTGGATACAAGGAAAAATTTCTTCACTGAAAAGGTTGTCAGGCACTGGAACAGGCTACCCACGGAAGTGGTTGTGTCACCATCCCTAGAGGTATTTAAAAGACGCTTCGGTGTGGTGCTTAGGGGCATAGCTTGCCAGTGGATTTGGCAGTGTTAGATTTATGGTTGGACTTGATGGCCTTAAGGGTCTTTTCCAACCTAAATGATTCTGTGATTGTCCATATATGAAGAGATGTAAACTGAAAACATCCAGTACTTGGAGGCTTTAATAACCCTAGCGTATGTAGAAATAATGGTAAGTGCATGTGTACATTTACAGAGAGATAGTATTGATTTAAAAATACTACTTTTAACTTCATAATTTGCATGAGTCACATCAGTGGTAGTACCTATTTAAAGATTTTATTTTCTTATTCCAAACTTGTGTCCCAGCTGTACAATATCATCTACCTTTGGTCTTGGCTCCCTAGTTTTTCCCATCATCCATCAGTTTAGTCCTCCCTTTCTTTTCACATTCTGATCTGGAAGCGTATGTTCTGTTGGCAGGACGTGTAAATTCCTGCAGGTGGGATGAAAGCCTTTGCCTGGACGGATTTGGAAGTTAGGGCCATGTATCTTATATTGAGAACGGCATACAGTTACTTCAGAGTATGCTACTCTTTGGGAATGTCTCATCTAGGTTGTAAATGCCGGAGCAGATACTTTGCCAGTTACGCAGGGAACTTTGGAATGCCTGTTGGCCGTAGAGTTTGAGTGCTGCGTAAGAAAGGATGAGCTCCTCTGTTCAGAGTCCTGAGCTGTTGCCACGCCTGCCCAGCTGCCTGGGTCCAGATCCAAGCACTGGTGAGTGGAGTTCCTTAAGAAATCTGCTACTTCTTTCTTCTCATTAATGTACACCCCTGCTTCAAGAGTGATGAGGAAACCCTATCATAGACAGCCAAAGGTGTCTGTAGCTGCTTTGATTTAGATGAACTGTATCAACTTCTGAGGGCAGAAAGGGAGCACTTTAGAAACACCTGTCTGCACCAGTCCCAGTGGTGGAGAAGCAGCAAGAGGAAGTAAGGGATGGAAGTTGCTTCCTTAAGTGTAGATCATAATCAAGCTTTTCAGCTGTTTGCTTCAAGCTGGTGCCTGCTTATCTCTATATCCTGACTGATTTATCTTGGTAGACACAGTCCTATTCCTTTGTTGTGATTTAGCTCTTAAAAAAAAAAAAAAAGGCTTTTAGAAAAGCTAGCAGGAAGTCTCCAGGCTTAAAGGGCATGATTCAGAAATTTCAGAAAGTCCCAAGAGAGTGTAACTTCTAGGCTCCTTTTGCGTTTTGTGAATGTGGAGGGAGTTTATTGCGAAGATGTGGAAAATGCACCACAGTTGCCAATTCTTAGATCTTTGTCAGGAAGTTGAGTTACTTGCATCCAGGTCTGAAGGTAGCTTGAAAGCTGGAATTAACAGTGGGGGGTTGTCTTTCTTCTTTATTCTTTTTCCGTTGCTATGACAAGTTTCTCAACAGCCACCACTGAAGTCCAAACAGCATTAGTCTATGCGAGAATGAAGTGAGTGTAAAATCTTTGTTGAAGAGTTGAATATTACAGTTTCTTTGGTAGCAATAGTTTACAATGCTCCTACTTCTTTCTACTCCTTTATTGCAGCTCAGTGGTTCTTCTGCTTGGCAGTGCACTTCCTGCATGGCTGTGTTTTAAACAGGGTCTCTGAAGTGCTCTGGGTTTTAAACTGATGTCTATAGTTCAGTGTAACATAGAGCAATGCTATCTGTACACTAGAGAAGAGAGACAAATGGCTGAGGGGAATAAATAAAATACACTTATGCTTAATTTTGGCTTAGAGTTGTTCTGCCTTCATTAAGCTAGACCTCAATATTAAACACAAGGAATTTAAGTAATGTAATTTAGGGTTTTTTTTTTAACATTTAAAGTCTCTGTTAGTCTGACCCTTAAAACTCAATGGAAAAATAAGTCTGTGTTGAGGTTCTAGTGTACTTCTGTGAGCTGTTTGAAATACTTTGGAAAGAGCAACAGCTTTGCTTGAGTTCTTGCCTCAAATATATCAAGCTGCTAAGTATAAAACCATCTTTTTTTCTAAGTAGCCTGTATCCACTGTTTGTGTTACCTTCATTATAGCAACTTTGATTGTAGCAGCTCATGTGAAAAATATAAAACCACAAGGAAGAATTCCTGTTGAAAAATCACTAGGTGTTTACATTCTTGAGTTCTGTTAACTTTTAAAGAGACTACTCCATTGAAAGCGTTCAACAATCTAAAGTTGCCACAATTTTTTGATGGGTTGTGTGTCTCTGCTTGTGGTGGAAGGTGCCATTCTGTAAATACGCATGTGCAGAAAGCGTAAACGTGTTGACTAATGAGATGTGTTTTGCTCTCAGAATCTCAGTGGTTAAGACACCACTGTGAGAGTTCAACTTCAAATGGGGTTTAGTAAGTTCCACTCTTGGCCAACCTAACCTGGCTTATTTCTTGGCTTTTGGTTAGCCTTCACCATTTTAGCTACAGCAGATAATAGAATTATATGGAGAAAGGCTGCTTTTTCAGGGGGCTTCAGTCTACTAAGGTCACTGTTAGTGTAGCTGAATTATTTTGAGGAGAGATGTACCTGGTAATCTGATAGCACATCTCTTGATCTGTGTTGGGGAACCCAGCCAGAAAGCTTTAAAGGAAAAGGTCTCTTGAATTCCTCTTCAGTGCAGGTTTGGTCTCACTTTGTCAGGTTCAGACAGGATGCAAGCAGTTATCTTGCTTTTTAGCGTTTTAGTGAAGCCGTCTTCCAGATTCCTATTCCTGTGTACTGTAGCTTTGCCACAAGAATCTTAATAGTTGAAGAGAAGCCATAGTTACTGCTGAAACTTGAGATACCATGTAGAACTCTGGCTTCCTTTGTCTGTGTGCCTGAGCCATGAACCCTTTAAAGCACAGTCTCTGAGTGAAGTACTCTTTACCCCTTTCTAAGAAAGAATTGGAAGTTATTACAGAGCTTTAGGAGGAACACTGTCTTCATTTTAAGTCAGTGTTTTAAGTCTTTAATACAGTGTAGGGGTTGAACCTGCTCTGCGGTATTCATTATCATCTTTCTCTGTGACCTCTTATAATCTGCACAGGTTTCTACAGAACTAGAGACTGCACTCATTAATTTAATCTCTGTGTCAGCTAGCTGAG